CCTGGCACAGGCCACGTGCCCTGGCCATCCTTGTGGGAACAAAATGGAGAGCGGCTGTCCCACGGTGGCTCTCCCCGGCCCACCCATCGTCCGGAGGAGGAAAGAGGGCCCCAGGGACCATCAGGTCTGCACCCAAGTTGCATCAAGAGTAACCAGTGTTACACGTTTACTATTCTATTTGTGGTGTCTTCCCTGCCTGAGGACAAGGACTCCACCCTCCAGAGGCACCAGGTCATCATTTGCTAGTCAGTGGGGAAGAAAGCAGAAGAGGAAGGTACCACTGGATCTCTAGTGCACTCGTGGCTTACAGCTCCCTGCCCAGGGCACAACGGAGGCTCAGAGAGGGATGGCTGCCCCCTGGGTCACACAGCACTCAAAGAAGAGCCGGGGCTGGCCACACTGCAGAGGCCAGCTGCAGGAGGGCTCAGGGAGGAGGTGGGCAGGGTGCTGGAGAAGGGGGCAGAGCAGCCAGCACCCCTTCCACACTGCCCCTGCTCTGGTCTCTCTTCATGGTCCCGGGTTCCTCCTGCTCCTCTTACCGCCCGCCTTTCCCTAGACGCCTTGGCTCTGTGCAGAGTGAAGAGAGTCTTCTGAAGAGGACGAGCGGCAGAACCCGAGGGGGGAACCTCATCTCTGCAGCCTCCAGGACCCAGGGCCCTTGAACCTTCCACCTGTACCATTCAGAAACCTGAACTCTCCCAAGCGCTCAGTCGCCCGGCAGGAGGTCAGCAGGCCAAGAGGGACAGGTGCCAACTCGTGACCCTGCCCTTGACTTCTGCCCTGCCCTGGCACCACTCCAGCCAGCACCCCCGACCTCTGCTCCTTCTCTTCCTGCCCACAGTGGAACCCAAGCTGCCGACCTCTCACCTCTCGGCTGATCAGTGCCCTGATGGCCTCCCTCCTCAGCCTGGCGCTGCTGACTTGGCCCAGAAACCTCCCCATCCTTCCTCCCACCCTTCGGTCCCTTTGTGATAGGTACCTGTGCTCTGGCCTCAAACCGCCTGCTACTTTCCAACAGGGTGTGCTTTCTTGCCTCGGGGACTCTGCCTGTGTCATGCCCCTTGCCCAGGAGCCTGCCAGCACATTCCTGAGACCTGGAGCACACTGCACCCTTGACCTCTCCTCCCCAAGAGGCCCCACCCCCACGCTCCCACCCCCAGCTTCCGCTCCTTCCTCCGAAGGCCTCACACTCACCAGGGGGGGCAGGAACGCACCTCTAATTCTGGACACACCCCACACACGGAGCACGGAGCACTGGGCCTCCTGAAACCTAAGGGTCATCCAGCTCTCGTTGGTGTCGAGCATTTTGTTGAAGGAATGAGCTCGACAATGAGCACGGGACACAGCAGGAAAACTGTGGGAGCCAAGCGCGGTGGCCCATCCCAGCCGCTGAGGCAGGACGGCAGGAGGCTGAGGCAGGACGATCAAAAGTTTGAGGCCAGCCTCAGCAACTTAGTGAGGCCCTGTCTCAAAATAAAAAAATCAAAAGGGCTGGGGATGTGGCTCCGTGGTTAAGAGCCCCTGGGTTCAATCCCTGGTACCAAATAAAATCTGTTCGTTGGGGCTGGGGAGGGGTGTGGATCCCGGTGGAGCGCTTGCCTGGCTCGGCTTCCTCTTCCTCCTTGCATTCCAGCCACAGAAACCCTTTCTCCTTTCCCCATCTCCCAGCTCCTCTTCGACTTCCAGAACCCTGCACATCCTCTGCTCTCCCTGTCCAGACTTCTCCCGCGCTCAGTGAGCTCCGACTCGTCCTTCAAGACCCAGTTCCTGTGTGCCCTTTTCCATGAAGCCTCCCAACACCTGGGCTGACTCCTTGGCTATTTTCTTCTTCTGTAACCTTGACCGTGAGCATCTGGGCTCTGCCTCCTAACCCGACTCAGAGCTCTCTGCAAGCAGAGAAAGATTCCTCTTTAGAGTCACATTCTCAACATGAATCGTGATTCATAAGCAGGTCGTGATGAGAGCAATGGGAACAGATTTCTTAAACGTTTCCTGCTACTTGCTTAGTCTTTCACTTACATCCCTGGATCAAAAGCAGGCTCTGAGACGGCTGCACAGAATGTCACCGGGATGTCTTCAGCCCCACAGACTGGCCCCGAGGCTGCAGCTCCACTGGGTGTCTTCACTTATCACAATTACAAATGACTCGGGGACGACTCTGTGTATAAATCTTGTTGTCTTCTGGGATGATTTCTTTGGCACAAATTCCCAGAGGTGCAATGACGAGGTCGGAACAGGCATCATTTGTAAATTCATCCCTAGGCACAAGTCACCAAAGCGCACCCAGGGAATAGCAGCAAGAGGGTGGGCCACATCACGAGGAAGAACTTGTTCGTTTTATTCTATCTTAGTTTATTCTGTTGTTTTGAACAGGGCCTCACTTGTTGCCCAGGCTGGCCTTGAACTCCTGGGCTCAAGCGATCCTCCCTCCTCAGCCTTCTGAGGAGCTAGTACAACACAGTCACCACTCCTGAGTTAAACTCCTTATTTGTTTTTTTTTTAACATTATTGTATTTTTACACCTTTATTTAATTTGTTTATTTTTTTGTGATGCTGAGGGTCCAACCCAGTGCCTTACACGTGCCAGGCAAGCACTCCACCACTGAGCTGCACCCCAACCCTCTTATACTCAATCTTAATCTGTAATTCAGAGCAAAGAATACCATCATCTTACTGTCCTCCATTTGAATGGGTTTTTTGGCATAAGTGTGTCAGGGGTGGGCAAACCCTGACCATGAGCCTAATTGAGCCCCTTGCCTTGTATCAGGGGACTGGCAAGCTACGAAATATCGCTTCCCTTTTCAAATGGTGAAAATTATTTTGCAACATGTGAAAATCACAGGAAATCCGTATTGCAGCATCCATAAATAAAGCTTTATTGGAACACTGTCACCCAGTCACTTACGGATCACCCAGGAGGCTTTGAAACCTTTGGCAAAGCTGAAGAGTTGGGACACGAACCACATGTGTCATACAGCTGAAAGTATTTACTAGCTGTAAATAGGTCTGTGCAGAACAAGTTTGTCACTCCACCCCAGCCCACCCTTGAATGATACGATGATCACTCAGCTGTGTCCAGGAGGAGAAAACTTTGAAGAAACACTTCTGTGTGTGTGTGTGTGTGTGTGTGTGTGCTGGGGATGGAGCCCAGGGCCTCATGCATGCTAGGCACATGCTCTACCACTGAGCTGCACCCCCAGCCCCTTTTATTTTGTGTTGAGGTGTGCTTAGTTGCTGAAACTGGCCTCAAGCTTGTGATCCTCCTGCCTCAGCCTCCAGAGTCACTAGGACGACAAGTGTGCCCCACTGAGCCCAATGAGGAAACCCCTCTAACCCAGCTGGGATTCCAATCCTCGACCGCTAACTCTTTTGATCTTTCAGTATCAAAAACAGGGTTAATCCCAGGAAAACCGAGGTGAGTTGGTCACCCTGGGCTGGGCAGACACTCTTCTCCTTCGGGAAGCCTTTCTTAACCCCAGCCCCCACCACGAGGCCTCCTGGGCACCTTCACAGTGGTCTCTGAGCCCTACACAGAAGAGACCCAAGTACACTCGCACCAGGGAACAGAGAAGGTCAGTTCCTAGAGGTGCAGGTCCCAGGCAAGACTCTTTCCCAATCTCTGTCATGACTTGGGAATGCTGAGACCTGCCGTGGCCTCTCTGGGTGTCCAGGGGTGGGCTAAAGGAGGACTGCAAGGCTCAACCCTCCCGACTCCGGGGGCACCCCTGTGGGGATGGGCCCCACAGAGAACATTTGGGGCCTTCCAGGAAATGCAGACAGGAGAGTCCCAGAACCCCACTCCTCTCCCTAGCCTCTGATGAGCGGCACATTTGTCCCCTTCCCAGGATACAGATGGGACAACCGAGGACCAGAAGGGCCTCCCCAGCCCGGGCGGAGCGAGCTCCAGGAGGTCAGGAGGAGCCCCGGGTCTCGCCTCCGGCTCCTGGAAGCCACTAGTCCGAAGCCAACAAGGTCAGAACCAGCCTGGGCAGCCTAAACGGAGCGCCCCGCATTTTTTAGTTCCAAGAAGTCCCCTAGAGTTGCCAAGTGCAGGCTCACCCCGGCTGTAAGAGCCAGCCGAGCCCAAGCAGGGTTTGAGCCTCTGAGCAGCGCTTCCTCGGGGGAAGGTGGGAGGAACGCTGGGCTAGCCCACGTCCTGGTCACCACGAAGACTCAGGAGGTTCCTCAGGCAAAACGTCCGGACAGCATCTGGCACACAGCAAGTGCCCAGTGAAGCCCGTGTTCACAGGGTGCAGAGCCGAGCGCCGTCTGCATGCCCACCAGCCTAGCGGCAGCAGCCCAAGCTCCAGAACGCCCGGCCCCCTCGGCCCCAGGCCCTGCTCAGGAAGAGGTCAGCACAGGTGTCTTTCCATGACTGCCCCCGTCTCTCAAGCTTTGGTTCAAGGTCATTGTCATTTACCCGTCCATGATTCTTAAGCACTTCCAATGTTGTGCCATAGCACAGTCTGTGGGGCTGGTGACTGAACAACTCACTATGCCCGAAACCGAGGGGGTTTCTGGAAGGTGAAACTTTCAGTGCTAAAAATAGGATGATCCCAGGAATAAAAATGATTGGTCTGAGCTGGAAGAGCCATGAGAACAAGCCAGCCACAGTCGCCTCCTGCATGAAGCCTTCCCTGATCCACCTTGACTGACTCATAGGCCTCCTCTGGGTATCCTCACAGCTGCCTCTGTGCCCCCCATCACAGCACCATCCTTCTGGGTTGCAGACGCCTGAAGTCATCTCTGTGCTCTCTGCTCAGAGCAGAGGCCTGCTCCCTGCCTGGCTCTGCTGCGTTTCCTATCACGGAGATTGATGCCAAATAAAGACAAAATAAATGAATGAAAGCCGACACTCCCTGCCTAAGTGATGAGAAGACCGAGCCACAGACAGGCGAACTGCTCGAGCAAGATTCCCCAGAGAGGATGTGGAGCAGCCAGGTTTTGAACTCGCACCTCAGGAGGCTCCCACCCGCCCACCTGGCGCCATCCGACCTCACCGTGTTGTAGAACTCGGCCACCAGCTGTGAGTACTGGAAGTTGCTCTCACACCAGTCCACCTCAGAGCTCTGGTACGCCAAGATGCTGGGCATCCTGACCCAGCCACTGCCACCTGCTCACTGCGCCTGGCAGAGACGGGCGGCAGAGCAAGGGAGCCCGGGAGGGCCCGGCCCAGGTGAGGCGGGAGAGGACGGCTCCGTGCCCCGCGGCAGGCCAAGAGGAAAAACCTGCTGGGCAGCTCCCTGGTTGTGCCAGGGCAGCCTGGCTGATGCTGCACAGAGACAGTGGTGGCCTTGGGCACCAACCACAGAGCTGGTGCTGCTCAGGGGGGGGGGCGCAGGTGAACAGGGAGGAGGCCTCCCATCCCGGCTCCTAAGGAGCAGAAGTTGGGGGCCATGGGCTGTTCTAGAATGGTAATAAGGACGAGAGTTCACCGTGGTGGGTGCGGCACACTCTCCGTTTCACAGATGAGCAAGCTGAGGCAGAGGGAAAAGCCACTTGGTGGCAAAAACCAGGCTGGTTCTGAACCTCAGGCCCCTAACCATTAGGCTTTACTGCCTGGGCGCCATTCGAAGCCCTGCACAGGGGCAGCAGCTGGACACCCCCTCCAATGGGCTTGGCTCAGAGGAACAGAGCCCTGGTTTAGGAGACGCATTCCTACCATCTCCCCTTCAGGGACCTCTGTTTTCTTATCTGTGCTGTGGGAAGTTGGGCGGGATGGAAGCCATTTCTCCCGGTGGTCAAGGCCTCACGCGCACTGGGTGGGGTGGCCCACACCTGTAGTCCCCACTCCGAGGAGATGAGGCAGGAGGATTGCAAGTTTGAGGCCAGCCTGAGCAGCCTCGATCTCACTGGTCTTACAATCACAAAAAGTGGAGTGGTGGTGGTGGGTGCTGCTATGTGATCCCCAGCTTGCCCCCTGGGACAGGAAGGTGACCTTCATGGATGCGATTGTTTCAGAGACAGCAGGTCCAGGGCTGAGCTCCCTGTCGGGATCAGAAGAGCAAGAAAATAATAATGGTGGGCTGGGGCTGGGGCTCTGGCAGAGCGCTCGCCTCCCACGGGTGAAGCACTGGGTTCGACTCTCAGCACCACATGAAAATAGAGAGAAGGAAAATAAATAAAGCAAAGGTATTGTGTTCATCTACAACTAAAAAATTTTTTTAAATGATAATGGTGTTTCATACTATAGGTGACCTTGAGCTTTAAGGCAAGCCTATGGGATGGTGATCTTGATGGTGATGAGGACTGGCACTCCCTTACCAACTTCATACCTCCACCAGGCTCTTTTCTAGGTGTTCAGCATTCAGTATTATCTCATTTAATGTTCTTTTCCTTGCAGGAGGTACCAGGGATTGAACTCAGGGGCATTCAACCACAAAGCCACATCCTCAGCCCTTTTTTGTATTTTGTTTAGAGAGAGGGTTGCACAGAGTTGCTTGGCACCTTGCTGTTGCTGAGTCTGGCTTTGAATTTGTGATCCTTCTGCCTCAGCTTCCTGAGCCGCTGAGATTACAGGCATGTGCCACCAAGCTGGCTCATTTAACATTCTTAACACCCCTGAGACAGTAACTGCTTTTTCTTCTGAATGTAATAAGGAAACAGATGATCAGGACTAAAGCAACTCACCCCAGGTCCAATATCTAGAAAGTGACAGAAGGAGGCTAGCCACGTCGCCTCTCAGCCTGCTTCCTCGCCTGTGAAATGGGAACAGTGCTTGTTGCTCCTTCCCAGGTTCCTTGTGAACGTACAGTGGCCAGCTACAGTGTTTCTCCAGCAAGAGAACTTGGCAACACAGAGCAGCGCATGCAGCTGCAGGCAGGCAGTGACTCCTTCTGAACTCTCCCTCATTGCAGGGGTGCCTCAGAGCTGGTGACTGATGCTGCATTTGGCGGGGGGGGGGGGGGGGTGAAGCCAGGGATTGAACTCAGGGGCACTTGATCACTGAGCCACATCCCCAGCCCTATTTTGTATCTTAGAGACAGGGTCTCACTGAGTTGCTTAGGGCCTCGGTATTGCTGAGGCTGGCTTTGAACTCATGATCCTCCTGCCTCAGCCTCCTGAGCCACTGGGATTACAGGCGTCACCACCGCGCCTGGCTTGTCTGACGCTTCTGGACACACAGCCTCTCTGTTGGACAAAAAGCCCCCCAGCTCCTGGGGACCAGCTAGACTGTGCCACAGGAGGTGCCGCCTTTGGCCTCACCCTTTACACAGGCGGTCCTTCCCAGCAGATGGCGTCTCCTTTCCCTTTGCTGGAGGCTTCCAAAGTTTCCTTGGTTAAATAAAAGTATTAAGCCTCATAATTGTGGTGTTGGTTACACAAATCTGTACGCATGATGAAATCGCATCAACACCCTCAGCCAGGCTTGTAGAGCTATTGAAATCTGAATGCAGGCTCCAGATCATATCAGTGCCTGGTTTTGAAATGATATTGTTCTGTCACATGTCACCACTGGAGAAGCCGCACACAGGGTACTGGGACTGCTCTGCTCTACTTTTTTTTCTTTTTGGTGCTGGGGATTGAACCCAGGCCCCACCTGCACTAAGCATGTGCTCTACCACCGAGTGGCACCCCAGCTCCTACACTATCATTACACCTTCCTGCAAGACTGTCATTATTCTAAAATAAAAAGATTTTTTTTTTGGAGTTGTCAATAGACCTTTATTTTATTTATTTTTATATGTGGTGCTGAGGATCGAACCCAGTGCCTCACACATGCTAGGCAAACGCTCTACCACTGAGTCCCAGCCCAGCCCTAAACAGATTTTTTAAAAGTAGTTGATTTGGGGCTGGGAGCGTGGCTGGGTGGTAGAGCGCTATGCCTATCATGCTTGAGGCCCTGGGTTCAGAAAAAAAGGTTGATTTATATTCCCTTCCTTCTTTCTGTACTGGGATTGAACTCGGCAACACTACCACTGAGCCATATCCCCAGCCCCCCCTTTTAATATTTATTTTTTAGATATAGATGGACACAGTATCTTCATTTTTTATATGGTGCTGAGATCAAACCCAGGGCCTCACGCATACTAGGCAAGTGCTCTACCTCTGAGCCCCAGCCCCCAGCCCCTTTTATTTTATCTTGAGGCAGGGTCTTGCTGAGTTGTTGGGCTGACCTGGAACTTACCATCCTCCTGCCTCCTGAGTCTCTGGATGACAAGCATGGATGTGTGTTTAGTCAACGTGGGAATGGAGAAACGAAATGTCACCTCTTTGCACAATGGAACATCACTCAGCCTTTACAATCAGGACAAAAATCCTGGCACCTGTCCCAACAGAAGAACCTTGAGAACATTATGCTATAATGCTGTGTTTTCATGTTTGGAAATCTGAACGATTTGAATGAAAATAACGGTACACGCAACCGGTCATGTGAACAGGGACCACACATGAGCAGAGGACTCGAGAATGTCACCATCTGAGCAGCCCTGGCAACTGCAAGCATGTCCTTGTCCAGAAAGGAGGACTGAGGACAGGAAGGACCAAGGCTGTCTCTAGCCCAGTGTGGGGCCCGCACCAGTCCTCCCAGCTGCTCAGGAGGCTGAGGCAGGAGGACCGTGTGAACCCAGGCGTTTGAGGCCAGCCTGGACAACCTGGCAAGGCCGCTCAAGAGGGAAAAAAAATGTGCCATCTAAGATCTCCAGTGAGTCTAGATTTGATCTGGACACACCTCCGATTGCAGCCACATGAGGGTTGGGTCAGGACAGGTGACCTCAAACTTTCAAGAAATCCCTCACATTGGCCTCTCATGTGGGTTAACTCCACGGTTGATCTGGAAAAGTTTTGTTTAATTATATTTATTCATTTTTATTTGTTCTACTTAGTTGTATATGACAGCAGAATGCATTTCAATTCATCATACACAAATGTTGCTCAATATTTCAATTCTCTGGTTGAACACGGTGTAGAGACGCACGATTCGTGCCATCACACATGTACCTAGGGTAATGATGTCCATCTCATATCACCATCTTTCCTACCCTCATAACCTCTCCCTTCCCTCCCCTTTGCCCAATTCAAAGATCCTCCATTCTTCCTACGCCCCTCCCCCATTATAGATCAGCACTCACTAAGCAGAGAAAACTTTGGGCCTTTGGTTTTGGGAGATTGGCTTACTTTGCTTAGCATGATATTCTCCAACTCCATCCATTTACCTGCAAATGCCATAATTTTATTCTCTTTTCCTGCTGAGTAATATTCCTCTGTGTATATTTTACCAGTTTCTTTATCCATTCATCTATTGAAGGGCATCTAGGTTGCTTCTACAGTTTAGCCTATTGTGAATTCCGCTGCTATAAATATTGACATAGCTGCGTTACTATAGTATGCTGATTTTAAGTCATTTGGGTATAGGCTGAGGAGTGGGATAGCTGGGTCAGATTGTGGTTCCATTCCAAGTGTTCTAAGGAATCTCCAAAATGCTTTCCAGATGGGTTGCACCAGTTTGCAGTCCCATCAGCAATGTATGAGTGTGCCTTTTTCCCCACATCCTCTCCAACACTTATTATTGCTTGTATTCTTTTTTAATTTTTTTTTGTAGTTGAAGATGGATACAATATCTTTTTAAATTTATTTATTTTTGTGTGGTGCTGAGACTCGAACCCAGGGCCTACACGTGCTAGGCAAATGCCCCACCACTGAGCCACAACCCCAGCCCCTATTGCTTGTATTCTTGATAACTGCCGTTCTGACTGGGGTGAGAGGAAATCTTAGAGTAGTTTTGATGTGTATTTCTCTAATTACTAAAGATGTTAAACATGCTTTTCATATATTTTTTGATCACATGTATATCTTCTTCTGAGAAGTGTATGTTCAGTTCCTTAGCCCGTTTATTGATTGGGTTGTTTGGTTTTGGGTATTAAGTTTTTTGAGTTTTTTGTATACCCCAGAGATTAGTGCTCTATCTGATGTGCATGTGGCAAAAATGTGCTCCCATGCTGTAGGCTCTCTCTTTACCTCCGTGATTGTTACTCTTATTGAGAAGAAGCATTTTAGTTTGAATCCATCCCATTTATTGATTCTTGACTTTATTTCTTGCACTTTAGGAGTCTTGTTAAGGAAGTCGGGGCCTAATCTGACATGATAAAGATTTGGGCCTACTTTTTCCTCCATTATGTGCAGAGTCTCTGGTTTTATTCCTAGATCCTTGATCCACTTTGAGTT